TCTGGCGATAAAATCAATTCGTACTTTCAGAACTGTTTTCAGACTAAAAATACTTCCGACGATCGCAAATACTCCTACATTGCAGAGTTCGTCTGCTACGGTTTGAGTAATCCGATTCAAATTGAAACTTGAAACAGGCACTTCGCAATAATTATTTCCCTTCATCGAGTCACGATCGGATAGTTTAAAATTGCCATTAATGAAATTTATTCCCTAAGTCATGCAAAGAATGTTCTGTTAGAATCCTGTAAAGGAATTTGTTACAGTCGACTACAAGCCTATCAATCCGAGATGAACCGTTTCATATTCTAATTAAGGAAAGTTTTAGTAAGTGCTGGAATATTTTTAAAATGTAACGTGGTACAGGATATCCTAGCGTTAGCAAAAAAGTTTCTATGGACATAGACTTACAAATGTTTAGAGGAAACGAGAGTAAAACTGACATTTCTGAACAATATCTCAGACTTGATAGGTAAATGATGAATTAATTGCTTCATCTGTTTTTTTAAACATTTCTCCTGAATTTTTTAATTGCTCAAAAAATTGCATAGAAAAAATGTTTCTTGTTAGTTTATCTTAAACTAGAAAGTTTTAAACAGGGACAATCGAGAAATTACTCTAATTATTTATTACCAATAATATGACTGTAAAAGTGTTACGATAATGAAAATTCTAAAAAATTTCCTAAATTTTTATCAAAACAAACTATACAGGGTGTCCGTTACAGAATGAGCCAAACTTTACCACTACGACGAAAATTTTCCAAATAGTATTGCTTCTATAAAAATAAAAATTGCTGTACCAGCTAGAGAATCACTGTTTGACTTGGTTTTCAAGTAATCACCAGTACTTCAAGTACCATTCTCAAGTCCATTGTCAGGTCAGGTGAAGTAGTTCTATTTCAAGTACTAGAAAATTCAGATAAGTTTTCATGATTACTTGATTTTTTGTATAACTTTACAAACCTGTATCCTAAATTATAATCCTATTATTAAAAAGTATTAACTATTCATTGTGAATATATAAATATAATAATAAATACAAGAACCAACATTTTAACTGCATATTTAACTCATTAAAGCAACAACTTTTGTTCAACAATTTTTTTTTTCAAAAACCTCAATTTTTAAAATGATCTTAAATTTTCGTTATAAATCAAGTTACAACAAAAAATGTTCAAAAGGTCCTCTGTTATCATCAAGGCATTAAAAACTTTGTTCTAGGATTTCCAGATTGTTCTTATGCAATAACTGGACCATTTCGACCAATCATTAAATAAATCTTTTGGTTCATTTCTTAAAAATGTGTAAAAATCTTCTACCATCTGATATGGTATAACGTAAGGTACAATGAACGATTGGTTTACTATTCCGACCCAAACCTTACCGAAAATCTTCGCAATACCCAGATAAAAAAATATTGTCGGTAATGATAATCGTGAGACCGTAAAAATTGAACTTTTTGTACATGGTACGTGTATAACTGCTGTTTTTTCAAAATCCACTAACTTAATTTGTTGGTACATTCTGTTGTAAAGTCTTTTAGGAGTGCTAATTGCAGGATTATTTGCAACATTCTCCAGAAGTGAATCTTCAATGATTAGGTCGTTGACAATCTCGATTGTGAAGCTCAACTTTACAAGATCAGTTAACCTGAACAAATGTGCGCCTATTTGGTATGACACAACAATTACAACTGTTAATATCTTGTCGCGCTTATTATTTTTAGCACGGAGTCAGTAAACCCCTTAAGAATGAATCAGTGCATAAAATATTTTAATAAGTTATTTAGATATATTTTTTTAATCCATATGCGGCCTGTTATTATTTTAATGAGTAAAGATATAAATAAAAAATACATGCAATTAAAATTCAGCACTTATGTCTAGAAAACCCTGTAAGTTTATATTATATTGCATTTATTTTGTATATAAAAAAAACCTTTTTATACGCGTTATACCCTACCTAACATCTCGAAAGCTAAACCGTTTATTAGATAGGTTGACATAAACTCCTAAGTTACACCTTATACAAGAACAGCTTAATTTAAGTTATATACTTTCAGGTAACGTAAAAGAAATTAGAGCAGTTTTCATTTTTCTAGAAGCGAAGAAATATTCTGGCTGCGCTTTAAAATTCTGTTTCACTCTTGTTAAATTTAAAAAAAATGGCGAATGCGCCAGTAATATTTACCACCGAAGAAAGTTTCACGAATATATTATCTAACATACTCTTAATAATATCGTTCTTGGTCCTACAATTATTAAATTGCCATAGATAGGGATTTACTGAATATTAAAAAAAATTAGGCTAACTACCAAGAATCTTGACTGGAAGGTTCCAGGAACTTATATCCTTAGGGAAGATACTCAAATAAATTATAGTTTTATTGGCAATAAACAAATATATTTACAGAACGGCTTTAACACAAGTTAATTCAAAAGAAATTTTTTATTTTTCTTAGAAATACTGAAATATACTGTATCTTAATTTGATGATGGCTGAATTAGTACCTCGGAAACGGTTAGAGATAGAAAGAAGGTTAAATAGGAAAAGTTTTAATCATTTTATTATTATTATGTTGTTAATTTAATAGCTTACATACCGGCACCAGCTGTTTTTGTCGAGGTATTTTGAATAAATCAAATGCAGAAATTTTAGAAAACCTGATGTAACTTTTCATATTGTTAACTCCAATTTGGGTCATACTGTATATAACTTGATATTCTTCCTCTTCGAATAGTCCAAGGGGGAGAAAATTAAAGAGAGAATTAAAACCATATAGATATTTTTAATTAAAACTGAAGTGATAACATACTCGACGACACGATTTTAAATAGATAAATATTTATATAAAATACAAATATAAATCATAATATTTTTCTATTGAAAAATCACAGATTGAAGTAAAAAAACTGAAATATTTATATATTCTGAAAGAAGAATTGTCTCCGTATCATGCACAGCGTATTCAAGCATTAATAAATGTGCATTATCCTTTACTAGTTAGATTTTACACATAAAGACTATGTTTATTTACAATGGGATAAATACTATCCAAATATTCCAACTCGAAAATCCACATGCGGTTGACCGTAATCACATCTAGCCCGTTTTTCTTTGGATAATTAGACAGAGATTGTCGACAATTGTACGTTGTATTGACCGTTCATATTGCCAAACGTAATAGAAGATTTTTTAATATTTAATTTTTCTTCGATATGATCTGGTTCAACTTCTTAAAGATGATAATAAAGACAAATGTATGGTTCTTGCATGACGGCGCGCTCCATGATTTTGGACAAAATGTTGGAGAATACATTAATAATGTTCAAGAGGTACACTGGATTAGATGAGGAAGACCGATAGAATAGCCACAATACAATCTTAATACAAAATCCTTTTGATTTTATATGAGAACATTTAAAAAATTACGTTCAACAACAGCAGGAAATGAAAACGATAATAAAAACAATAATTGAATTCCTTAAAATAAAATGGCTGTGACAAAACTTATTATATTGTTAATTTTTTTATTTTTGCTGGTAAAATTTTGCCGTTCGATTGTGCGTACATTGTTATACATCAGGTATTACAGCCGTCTAAATTCTAGTGGCGTGTCATTTTATTAATATTTTAAAATAGCTTTCGAAGTTTCTTTTTAATTACTTTTTTACACCATAATATATTATATTCCATATTTTTTGTGTATATCAGACGGTATACATAAAATGTATTTAATTATATTTTTTACGCTCGCAATAGCGTATTGGTTTAAACTTCCTGTAAATTATACAGTAACAGTAAAAGGTTACATGAATTCAATAGTGTTTCAGTAGATAATATAATTTGTATTTGTTTTACTTTTGTGATTGATTTTTCCAGTGGTTTTAGTATTATACAGTGAGCGGCAAAAGTATGGAATATATTTATTTAAAAATCAGTCGGTGATTTATTTTGATCATTAGGACGCAATGACTTGAATGTAAAAAATATAAGTGAGGTATTTAGGTATAATTCAATTAAAAACCCATAATTTTATTGTATAAAATATTATTTTGTTAAATGTCACTATTTAAATTACGTGCCAGGTTATTTTGCAAATTTTTAGCACCGAACCACTTATTTCTTATGGATTTTTCTGATTTGAAGCAACTTTCTGTGAACCACAAAAATCTAAGATGGAAAAGTAAAACGCAGGGTAAATCTCAGGGAAATTTTTGAAAATTTCCCTTATTCTATATTCAGACGCCATTATCTCGAAAACGGTTAAAGATAGGTATAGGTTATGTTACATAAGAAATGATCAGAATTCCATGGAAAATTGAATAAAAATACAAAAAAGTGGGGTTTCCGTTTAAAAAAGTTGGCCTTGATTTCATAACTTTTTTTGGGCCACCCTGTATAAATGAGAATTGCTTCAGAAAATGCGCAACTAAAAATATAATTCGACGTGTCCGAGCAATTTTTCAAATAACGAACATTTGATTTTTAAATAAATATATATAGTTTTTGAGTGTGTTGTAGTGAATTTCTGTAATCAAATAATTTTCTTTCTATCCGAGCGTTTTTTCGAATACGCTTCCATTTATTTATTATTGAATTTATTCCATTTGGCTGATACACACTGTATATTGTAGATGATCTAAAAATTATAAAATTTGATTCGTGGATGGTTTTAATTTAAACGTAATTTAGCTTAAAGTGGGTTTATTGCCAACTCAAATAGTATTCAATTATTTATATAAAAAATATATTATACAACTACCAAATAGTTGTACAAAAAGTTATGAACCTCTATGGCAACAGTTTCTGATATAGTACTAAATATCTAATACAAGAACTCAAGTATCTATGCTTGACACGGAAATTAGAGTGAGGGGACAAGTTTAATAGAGGGTCATGTATCCCGAACTTGCTTACCCATAAATATTTGCCGTTTTTCAGTTAAATATTGTTCGTTATATTTGTTAGATGGAAGTCGTTTCCTCGTTTACTTACCGTAGGTTTGATGGAAACGGCCTTTCGATACCATCTCTCCGCATCCTGGTATCTAACGGCCTGTCGCATCGCAGTAGCCGCCGCTACTGCTAGTTCATGGTCGTCAGGTCGGAGTTCAGCTGCTTTTTCGTACATATTTGCTGCCTCCTTGTAGCGCCGCCTCGAAGCTAGAAACTCACCTGAAACAAAGGGAAAACTAGAAGTTAAAACAAATTTAAGGTAAACAGATACGGAAACTTTTAAAAATTATGTTTCCTGTCGATTATGGTACAATTCTAAATGAAATATTTCAGCTTCTGTCCAAATATAGACACACGCCGCAATTGAAATTGAGACAGACGCGGGATTACTGCGTCACATTTTGCCGAGATGTAACATGAATTCACTTTTATTGTTGAATGGCATTACAGCTGAAATGATACATGTCTGTCTGTCAAATTACGCCTCGAACTGTATTTAAAATAAATAATAAAATCGTCTTTATTGTACATAAAAAAGAAATTTCGTACAAAAGGCGAAGTTATAACCTCATCTTCTCTTCCACTTAAACCTAGGGACACAAATGAGAAATTTGATAAGTATTACATACAAAAAGGATCAATCACGTATTTTAAAATCCAGAAGAAGAAGTATAACTTTATATATTTAAAAGGACAAACAAACAAAGTAAACTGTTAACTAAAACAAAACAAATTAAGTTAATTATTAAAAAATTAATTAAGTTAATTATAAAAATCAATTTGCAAAAGAAATACTAGAGAAAAGCATGTGCATGTGCCAGTGAGCCATCAGGCACTCCAATAACAAGGGATTTCTTTAAATTTCTGCGGAATGCAGTTGGTGAGAGTTTTTTAAAAAACCTTTCTAAAGAATTATAACTATAGAGAAAAAGACTTTTGAAATCCAGCTGTAAGATGTCGCGGCATGGTAAGACTGAGAGCGCTCCGTACATTAACTTCATGAATATTATTTCGGGTAATAAGTTTGTTCTTTAGATAAATTGGTGAGGAGGTTGCGAGTAACTTGTATGTGAAAGTCAAAAGTTCCAGCTTCCTGTATTCATAAAATTTTAGCCATTTAAGTTCTCTGATTTTATGTGTCACATGATCGAACTTACGTAATTTAAATATAAACCGGCAGCAAGTGTTTTGCACTTTTTGAATTCGCACTTTATTATAATAATCTAAAAAAGGATAGTACATTATTAAACAGTAGTAAAAAATAGGTAGTATCATAGTTTCACATATTTTTTTCCTAACTTCATAAAACTGCTATTTGCAAAATGAACTTTCAGGCGAACATAAGATTTTTTCAAAAGTGAATTAACATGACTATTGAAATTCAACTCATTGTCGAAAACTATACCCAAATTTTTAGCTTCTTGTGAAAAGGTGAGATCGGAACTGTTTAATTTTATACATAAGTTGGAAATAAGGTAGTCATAAATACTAAGAGAACAGTATAATAATGCCGATGATTTTTCAGCATTCAATTTCAAATTATGATTTTTACTATACTCAATGAGTGACTTAAGGTCCGAGCTTATTTGCTCATTTGCTTGCTCTACATGTAAAGGGTAAAAATGATATAACATTTGGGTATCATCAGCATAACATTGAATTGTACAAAAAATGATGTGATATTTTAAATGCGTAGTATAAATAATGAACAGATGGTGTCCCAATATCGACCCTCGAGGAACGCCTGACGTTACAGGTATAGCATTAGATGTCCCACTATTAGTTTTCATTCGTTGTACACGATTACTTAAATAGTGTTTGAAAAATTGTAAAGAAGTTTTATCAAGATCATAATAACTTAATTTTGATATCAATAAAGGATGATTAACTAAATCGAAGGCTTTTAAATAGTCCAGAAGTATTAACGTAGCTGCTCTATGTATGTCTGTAGCACGAATAATATTATCAGAAACATTTAACAAAGCCGCACAAGTACTATGGCCAGATCGAAATCCAAACTGATGGTTAGGAAGGAGGTCGTTGGTTGCCAAATATTTTTCAAGCTGCAAATAAACAACTTTTTCTAGAATTTTACTAAAAATAAGTAAAAGAGAGATGGGACGGAGATCTTTATAAGTAGTCGGATTAGTGATTTTAGGAATGGGGCATCAGTGACTCTTTCCATGCTGACAGAAAATAACCAATTTCCATACAGCAATTGACCAAATGAGTGATGTAGTCGTATATAACTGGAAGACACATATCATATACAAAGAAATACCATCAATGCCAGCTGCATTCGATTTAATATCATGTATTATTTTCAAAACATCTTTGGGATCCACAGGGCGAAGACAGAAAGTTATTTTTGAATTTGTTATTAGAATATGTTTTGAGTGTTATGTCAGGAGTGTTATCGAACACAGACAGAAAATAATCATTTATTTCGCAACTATGTTTAATTCTTCAGACAAGGAATTACAATTACTTTTGATAACATTCAGTTTTCTTAATGCTTCCCACCAATTCGAAGTGCCACGCCTTTCCATCATATTAATATACGTTTTTTCCCTACGCAGCGAGACAAGTGCAAAATTTCGTAACTTCTTATAATGAGACCAATTATCTGGTGTTTCATCACGTCTGTATTTTGAAAATGCCTTGTTTCGTTCGGCCATGATCCATCCAAGGTGCAGAAGATTTATTCATTCGCGCTGTTTTTATTGGTACGTCCATATCAAAAAGTTTTATCATATTGTACGTTAAAAATTGAATTTTTTCATCTACATTGAGTATGTACAAAATACTGTCCCATGGAACACTTAAAAGGTCATCGTAAAATAAATCTGAATTAAAATTTGTGAAGTCCCTGTAGGTATACATTTTTATGGCCAATTTCGTATTTTCCTCGCTATTTTCTGATCCGACACCAAATTTAAAACCAGGTGCTTCACATTTATTTAATTTAGTGCAGTTCTCATCCTTCTCAATCTGTTTTTTTCTTGAAATATGCGACAATTAATTCGAATTTACTCCAATGTAACAACTTTAAACAAGTAACTTGAGTAATATACTTCTTTCAATAATGTTCCCACTCAATTCTACTCCTGCGCAATTCGTCACTACGCAGGACATTAAAGAGCAAAAACGCCCAGCGAAACGCACCCCTGACGCAATCCAATGCCTTCAAAGAAACACCGCATCGAGCAGGTCCCCTAGCTGCGGTTTCGAGCCCCCATCAAACTGACGCTCCATTCTCACCCAGATGCGGAACATCTCCGAAGAGGAATCGCACATCCTAGAAAATTCGTCACGCGCCGCACTTGCAAATTCATGCAAATTGGCTGCTTTCGCGGCGGCGGCGAAAAAGGGAGCAGCGACTTAGAGTTTTAAATTAGGACCGCCTTGGTTGCGTTTCACTTTAATATTTAGCACAAATATACCCAAAGTGAAACCAACATTTGTACGCTTTACGTACAACTCAAGAAAGTGCAGCGTGCAGTCAAATATCTCACAGATATCTCATAAATAGATATTATTGCAATTATTTATTATTACTGCAATTATTTATTTGTCGCATTTCCTATGGCACTTTAAAATTTTATTAGATATTTATGCCACAATTAAAAAAATTGGAAATTAGTTACAGATTAGCTACAATTAGAATTAATACACTCCATCAGTTAAACAGCACATAAATAAATCAATTCTTTTCCAGCACTTGATATGTATGTGTTCTCAGATCCCCTTACCACAGAAATGAATAATAAAAAAACTCAATTCACAATGTTGCCGTTTTGGAAAAAATCCTATGTTATTAAAAAGTAATTTGTGACCTATTTTCAGTTTTGAAAAATCAAGTAGGCCTGGTTAGATGTCAAAACTTTATTGAAAAAAGTCCACAGTAAAAGCATGACTTCTTTGATTTTTTTTTTTGATAAAATATTGAATTATAAAATTAAAACTGATTGACAAGAAATGTTGGGTCATTAACATACTTACATGATTATAGAAAGATTCATTTGACTACATTTTATTTCAGTAATTGTTCATTTATTTTATTCTGCTCATATACAGGGTGGGCCATAAGTGTGAGAAAGTAATATAACTCCCTTGTTGTTCATAATACAGAAAAAAATTTATATATACGTTTTACTGAATCAAAAAACCTAAAGGACTAAATTAATTTGAAACATACTGGGCGATTAGTAAAAACGGGACACGCCAAATATTACATTTTTTAAATGGAGCGCCCTGTATATTTTTAAACATATGGATTTCTGAGAAAATTCTATACACAGCAATATAAGCAGTTTAACATTTTAGTTCGGGGTTGCCAAGTTATGTAGAAAATTCTTCGAATTTTGGAAAAAAAACATGACTTCGAAGAAGTTGTAACTTTCAACTACTAACACTTTGAGCAAAAATATTTGACAGAGTTATAGACAAATGTTAGGCAAAGACTCCTATATTAGCTAATATCGAGATTTTATACAGGACATTTTTTAAAATTCGATTATTTTTAGAAAGTTCAAACTTGATTTTCTAAAATTTTTCAAATGGAACACCCTGTATTTTATTGTTCTATTTTATTCACATATCAGCCCACTTCAACTTTTATTAAGTATGTTCAACTCCTAAAGTTCTTGGTTTTTAAGCAACATTTCTGAAAAAACTTAATTTTTATTATTTTATAGAATACCACAAATAAATATTAAGTAATAAAATTAACTCAAAATGGAATGATAAATTATGAACTAACAAGTTGACACAATGTGACAGTTTCTTCCAAAGCCATTTCGTGCGAACGAAAATAATACTACCAATCGCCCTGTACGTTTCAAATTAATTTTGTCCATTAGGTTTTTTGATTCTGTACAGCTTTTATATAAACTAAAAACTAAACTAACTAAAACTAATATGTTCCACTGATGAAAATGCGCCTTTTTCATAATTTTTGGATATTGAAAAAATTTGCACAAAAGTTCTATTTGGAAAAGGTCTATCTAAATATCTAAAAAAAATTCTCTTCAACAAAAAATAGAACGTTTTGCGTTTTTGATTAAATTTTGTACTCCTTTAAGGGAACTTGATTGTACCAAATTCTAATTTTATTTGTTTTATTTTATTTTACTGTACACCGGACTGTCAAAAAAATTAATGTGTTTGAAAAACAGCTGACAAAATACGTAGAATATACAAAAAATGTCAGTTTTATA